GTTCTACGGCATGAATGGCAAGTCGGTAGAGGTAGACAACACTGATGCAGAGGGTCGCCTCGTGCTTGCGGACGCCATTTATTACGCCGCCACCGCGTTTAAGCCGCATACGCTCGTCGATGTCGCTACACTCACAGGGTACATTGTTTTTTGGCATCATAGTCTTATGTCAGCTGACACTGCGGCAGAGCTATGGACGTCTCGCTCGGCGAGGTTTTTTCGGGCGTGTTTACGGTATAATCTCGTGAATCGTTTTACTGGCGCTGTCTATTGACAGACGCTACAGAATTCCGAAACGTTATGGAACGCTCTACACGCCGCCGGTGAGGCTGAGTACGACCGCTTCTGGCGCATGCCGCTCGACGAAGACTACGGCCCACAAATTCATTCCTGTAATGCAGATCTCCAGAACGTAGGTGACGGAACGTTGACGAACAATGCATTTCTCTGACATTCAAGTACAGTCTGGTGGCCGTCCGGCGGGCAGTTGCACGGCCGCCTTATTCCTGCAAGCGTTTGCGGAGGGTGGTGACATTGATCCCGCTATGCAATGGGCACACGTAGACATCGCTGGCACAATGGAGGTCTGTCGCTCGTTAAATAATTGGATTTTCCGCTGAATCCCCTTCAAGGCAACGCGGCCGACGCTTTATCTGGAGAAAGGTATGACCGGTCGTCCTGTCAGGTGAGTCGTCCGTGTTGGTGGCGTTAACGAGTCCATTGATCCATCTCGCAGAGCGCTGGTTGAATTTATACGGCGGCGGAGTGCATAGTTTTTGCCGCTCGTTCCTCAGGTAGTACATGCCATAGATCAGCGCTTCTCGAGGACAGTGTGTATTTACTTTAATAATACTAAAATGGCCACTCTTTCGCAACTCCCCAATATCCGGCTTTTCCGTGTGTTGGAGGGGTGGTAGGCACGCTGATCGCAATGTAATCGACGAATGGACAATATACGGCGGATGCCGTCCGGCGCCCGTGCTTGTCGGGCCGACGACATACATATATCGTGAGATGAGTGCCTCGTGTCTCGTCATCTTGGTTCTTTGGAATTGACCGCATACCACTATTATGACTTGGTTCGTACCAATACTGTGTTCGTTCCTCTGTTGATCGTCGTCGATTGACTAGTGCTAGGTGATGCATGCACCAAACGACATTTATGCCTGCTTGATGGAGGGTGAGAAGGCCGGGGACTTCCACTGGGCGTTGTGCCTCGTCCTCGTATGTATTACGGACGCTCGTTCTAGTCACGATGCGTATCGCCGTCAATCTCGCTTGCAGAATGCATGGCGCTGACGTTGACTTTCGTCGGTTTACCCGCAGAGCAAGACAGAGGCGTACAAGATGCACGCAACGAACGACAACGGGGCGAGTGACTGGCGATACGAGTGTGTGCGCTGGAGCGGGTTCGACACGGACGTGCGCGGCATATCGTACTCGAAAATCGGCCAGCTGGATCTCGATTTCGACGTGAGGTTCATCGAGGAGTACGTCAAAGACATGCCAATGTCCGTCCCACCCATCGATCGCTCACGCGAGCCCCGGTTCACGAGTAGGGTGTGGTTTCGCGAGGCCGTCCGCGTGCTCCACGGAGCTGGCATGTTTGTCCGGTGCGATCAGGTCGATAGGCTCGAGCACGAGCTTGCTATGCGCGCGACCGCCGACCAGTATCGGCGACGCGACCTGCCTATCTTCCACGACCATGCTAATAGTGCTGGACCGTGGTTTTGCTAGCGATGGCAATTATTGAGAAAGTGTGTCATTTAATGGAATTGCTTCTTGCCACCGGCTGTGTAAGGGATTGAGACACAGAGGAAGTAAGCAGTTTCCAGATTCGGTGGTTGATAGCACGTCGCGCGTATATGATATATGATACATGACCCGTTAAGGTAGTCGATACTTGCCCGGTAGTTCGTAGGTGACGTGAATATATGTATCTCTTTACTCTGTACTCTTATGTTTGAATCTGTTAGATAGCTGGGTATCGAGGGTATTGATGCTCGAGTGCTTCGATAGCAGTCTCGAGTCAAGCAACGTTATACAGTTCTATGACCCAACGAAGGCTTACTGCAGGAAGGACATCATCCCGTGGTTTAAAGTCCGCAAGCGCGTGTGTACTAGTGAACGACGCGACCAACCTATACGAATGTCTACGTTAGGTCAGATCCGCTTATCGAGAACGGAAAACTTGAAAAACCCTTACTAGCTGTTATATCCCACAAAATGCTAAGGCTAAATATCAATCCCAGACTCTGTGTATGACTTGCATGAGGTTGCTGGTATTGGACCGACATTTTCATTCGCGAAAATGCCATTCAGTACAAAGGCATGTATTGACTACGAATTAGTGGCTAACCATTCACGATGATTGGACATTATACCAAGAGGTGGAAGTCGGATTATGTATATGATCGAAAGCAGGTGAGTCGTTTCACAGGCACGAATAAAATAAAGACAGAAGCTTCATTAGTCGAAATAATACTTTCTCTTGTTACTTCTAGAGGCTTCCATACGAGGACCTCGGAGCGCGACCTGTTATGGGGAATCAGCTAACAGAACCATTTATTGACACGGACACACGTACATGATCAGGTGTAATACCTTTGGCAAATTCTATAATCGCTTTGCCTTCAGACACGTACAGAGTAAATGTAATGTCACGTTCTTAGACAAAACAATAATGAAGCATTAGTACCCGAAGGTCATTCATAAAGAGGGAACCGAGAGCCGGCTCGGAAAACTTGTAACGTACCCCAACATACAGTTTGCGCTGCGCTACATCCCACGTTCCGCTCTTCTTAGTAACGTGGTTCCCATCGCCTACAAGAACGATGTTCTTTTCCGGCGCGGCACCTTTGAATTTGTTTCCCATGTCGTAGAGAAAGTCTGTGCGGGCCTGAGAACAATGAGGGTCAGACATTGCATGCTATAGACCGGTGACCGATCTCTCCAAGGTAGCTAACTGATGTGCTCTCCAAACGTCAAGCACGTCAGTTAGCTACTTTGGAGAGATCGGTCACCGGTCTAGCATGCTAGAGAATAACTCATCACGGCGACGTTGGCGCACTTCTTTTTCTTTTTTGCGTAGTCGGTTGACCTCTGAGGCGACTCCGACTACCGTTCCTAACACAAACTGGACTACTTGCTCTGTCGTCTTTCCGCGTTTGACAAGATCCTGAGTGGCCCTCGCGTGCGGAGACAGCACACTAGAACGCCTTTGGACGCTTAGGGAATTTGGCTGCATAAGTCGAACGATGAGAATGCATGAGCCGCATCGCAGGGAGTCCACAAGCAGAAAAAAGCATACGTGACGGGCCGGATGGCAGGACGCGCCACTGAGCAGCAAACAAGTTAAAATAAATAAAACAAAAAGTCTGATCATGATAGTCCAGCGAGTGAATCCTCGAGACGACCAAGGCCGAGGGGACGACAGAGCTCGAAAATGGGCTATATTTATATACATAACGCTGAGGTGTTGGATACAATACAAAACGCATCAGAATTAACAATATTATATCTCAACTGCGCGATGCGACTTGGTGGACGAGAGGCTAGATAGTGAAGGAACGTTTGCTGCCGTTGTACAAGCGAACACATCAGAGCATAGCCAATCATAAATTGCATGCATGATGAATCAACAGATTTACAGCTTTGAGCTCATTATGGGCAATATCATCGAAAAAGAAACAGAGAGCAAGCCAGCCTTGAGTCCAGGAAACGGCGATGCTAAAATCCAGGAGAACATGGCAGTAAGTAAGTAGGAGGAGACAAGTGTGTCCATTTGATGGCGCTTGCGAATCTGTCTCTTACCATCACCACCCTCGTTTATAGCAGCTGTCCTCCAATATTTTGCTCGCTGGATACTTTTTCCAGTGCAGTCTTGTGTCGACACGAGGGGCGCGCGGTGAAAATAGCGCTCATCGGTTCCGTGCTAATTCAAACTATATGGAATGCAGCTCGTGGATAACGACACGGTATGCCGTAGAACCACCTGCGATGATACACTTGGCTCATATCTCTTCTCTACCCGTGTATCGGCGATCTCCTATCTTGTCTGGTGCCTGTATTTCAATGTCGGATTGCTGTCTGCTATACCGACGAATCGGTTAAATCAGTTCTTGAGGCGATTGACCGAGCTTTTCGCCACGACAAGATCATCGATCTGGCTCACTCATAAACGACGTGCGTATGCCTGTCAGATTGCTCCTATCCGCATCTTTTCATACACATGGCGCAGTATCATACGATGACGATGAGGCCAACGTCAAGGCGCTCAAGAGTGGTGTTGAGCAGCTGGACCTGAGTAGCAGTGCCACGGACAACGAAGGCTCATATCCCTGCCTTCTGCGCGTGACGGAGGGCGGAGAAATTAAATTCTCGACCAGAGTATGTCTCTTTGTATCGCCGTAGATCTCCCTTTGTCACGCTGACCGCGCGTCTTTGTTTCTACTCATCCGTCCCACCGACCTCGTCTTTCTCCCTCCTGATCTCACACAGATCGCACCCGCCGAGCTCGACCGCTTCTACGACGCGTATAGCGCGCTTCTCAAAACCGCGATGACGGCCGAGTCAGGGCCGGGTGTGCCCTTGCGCAAGCGCGACAAGAAGCGCGACAAGCAACGCGCAGAGGAAGCCGCGCGGCGCAAAAAGAAGATTCTCACCCCCGTCATCATTGATGGACCCAAGCGTGGAGCGGGTCGCCGCCGCCGTCAACGCCAGGTCAAGGCCGCGCTCCGGCAGCAGGAGGCCCAGCGTAAATTCAAGGAGCGGGAGGAGGTCCGAGCGAAGCAGCAACAAGGACGTGGTAGCACCTGAGACTGACACATGTAATACTAATGATGTTTTTCTAGTGCTGGAAACCACTTTGATGTGAGGGAAACATCCCGACTGAGGAATGAACAGTAAGCACAATGTTATTTATACTAACATAACTAAAGGTGAAAAATGTTGCAAAGAATTTTGACAGATGATAAGTGATAATAAAGACTTGTTGCGTAGGGCGCGTGGTACAGTGGTAGCACGCTTCCTTAGCATTGACTAACAGTCACCTCACTTTGTGGAAGAGGTCCTGGGTTCAATTCCCAGCGCGTCCATTTTTTCGTAAATTATTCTCGCAATGACTAAGTCACGCAAGATTCAACGGGAACCCGTTGTCGTTGTAACGGCTAAATTGAATCTTCGTTTGGTCTTCAAGTTCACGCTTTGTAAAAGGTCCCAATACTGCTTCTCATGTACTAGTCCGTATTTCGCCTCTACTCACAACCAGGTTACTGCCAAGCCTCTGGTTTCCAGATACACTTTGCAGAATATGGATTGCTAGCGCGGCTGATGATGCTAGGAATATCAATTTCGACTTCTTTTCTCATTTTGACGGTCCGTGTCGGATCCATTCCTCTGCCAGTCAAAAGTAAGCATGATCATCAATCGCGACCCACGACGAGGTGCGTCGTAACTTGACAACCTCGAGACGAGTCGTTGACATGACGTCGGAACGAGGTGGTTGAGTCGAGATAGGGCCGCCCAGCCTGTCCTTGTGTCAGTGATCTCGCGTTCAGTCTGCTCGCAGCGCACAGCGGGGCTTCGAATGACTGTCCAAGCTGTACTGCGTGTTCATTGCTGAAAATGGATTGTCATGCTGACGCTCGCCCGCGTTTCCATTGTTCTCAGCCTCGTACGGTTGGCGCTTTGTGATGGGTGGTGTGTGCTCTGCGTCCCCCACACCCCGGGACAGGCTGACACGCTGGGCCTGGCGCACACACGGCTGGGTTGAAGAATTATACGACCGGTGCGACGATTTTCTGCGAGAAGGGTATCACGTACAGTAGTGGTGGCCGTTCAATGTTGTGCTTGACAAATTGTGTGGAGAGCGTGTCGGCGGGCGGTTTTGGTGGCTACTGGTATGGATTAAGTACGTCTACGACTACGATATGTCGTCTGACAAGACCACGAACTCCCCGTGTCAGGATCGCACATCACATCAACAACGCTTCCCTCCGGTCGGTCGCGTAAATGTCCGTCGCGACGATGCTTCGACGTAAGTTAAGGAGCTGAGGTGCGCAGTTGAAGGCGATCACAAGAAAAAGAAAATCGATCGAAAAAAACAGAACGACGAATGGAAGTATAGAAAACGGGGAGATACAATTGAGTTTCCAGGATCAATACGATGCACAAGTCGCTCACTTGCGTATTGCCCCGTAGAAGTCATCGAACAGGAAGTTCTCGATGTAGATGCTGTTTTCGTCTGTGCCAGTGGACATAGATCTAGGCTGGAAGAAAGGCGTCAAAATGTATAGATAGTCAATTAACCAACTTGCTTACTTCTTGGTCCCGATAACTGCATGGCAAGTGCGTAACAGGGAATTAGCGCATTGTCGACAGATCTTACTTCGAACTAGCAACAAAACTCATTTTCGAGCGACATGGTAGATCTGTATAAAAAAAAAACATTAGCATGGCAGGTATTCTACACAATCATCAGGTGGTGTCCAATGGGAAAGGGTGTGGGGGAAGCCCGGAGGTGATGAAGTTGGTGTTGCGCCAAGTAACGTTTATCGCAGCACCATTGTCGCCCGCCCAGCTTTTGAAACGTTCAGCATACAGACTGCCAACCTGAGAATGAAACAACGGCATTGTAATGCGGTGGCATACTACACAGTTCAAGAGGGAGACCATCAAAATTCAAAGTTGGAAAGACCGGAAATGTTGAAGAGAATCGTAGACATTGAAAGGACTCATGGGTTGTTGAACGTTGAACGTATACACAAGACTCCGAGATTCAAATCTCAAATACTACCACACGTGCACGTTATGAAGCCAGAAGCAAGTACTATGTAGACGCCGGTCAGGAGCAAGTATTAATTTACGGGCGCCGGGGAGTATAACAAGCAGCAACGGTGATCAGAAAGAATTAGTTCGGGATCCGGGAAGGCGCAGATCAGCCAAGCCAACGGCGCCCGTGTAGCGGAGTCCGACGATCAACGGCGTTCATGAATGTGAGTAACGTTGTACAAAGTTGTACAAAGATACCATTTTGACGTTTTCGATCTTGCGTCCCAGGTCCTCCCAGGTCCTCCCAGGTCCAAGCCAGGCATGACAAAGATACGGGAAAAACCGCTAGAACTCACAAAACATTCTCCACGCTCGCGACAGAGCCGCTATCGCCGAGGGAGCCGATTACGACGTAGCTGCTCTTAGAACAATGTTCGTTACGGTCGCAGAAAAAACTGTGTGGCAGCGTGTCGGCAGGCAGATGAACCCGACACGCCATAGATAGAAGAAAAAAGACAGGGACGAAGCATCACTGCATCATAGAGCCAGCTTCATATTGGTGACGACACCACCACATATATTTATTGAAACCTCGGCCATGTGGCCGGTTGTCCTCGTCCACCACTGGAGAATAGCCTTGGAGAATACTCGGTAGTAGTAGACAAAAATACGATGAATACAGACCACCTGGCCATGAGCGCTGAACCATCCTGATTGAGATCGTCGAGTCCCACAGGATCGTGCTGGTATATCCCCACTGGTATCTCCCCGCGGCTGGGAAGCGAGAACCTGCGCGTGCTCCTTGTCAGACCTGCTTCTCTCAGATTTTCTTTTTGTGCTAACCTGTGGGACCATGTGAATAACGATGCCGGGATCATCTGCTGAGAAAATCAGTACAACCACCGCAATGCGCCCACCCCCGGAACGACGACTGGCCGTGTCTTGACACCGACGACCCTGCGCCGCAGGGCCCGCTTTAATATGACTATGGAGACCTTTTTCATTGAAAATTATGACTAGATCGTATCAAGAGCCTGCGGCGCAGTTTGGTGAGTGAAGTCATGAACCAAAAAGGCTTTAAAGCTCAATATTACGCTGTGGTCAGATCCTGATGCGTAGGAGAACGTATGATTCAAAAAAAGAGCGCAACTGAAGTTAATCAGGTCTTCGCTTGAGGAGATTCACAGACGAGTGATGAGAGAAACTAACCACTAAAGGTAGCAGCGATACTCGAGAGAATGTGCCATATGCGAAGGACCGGGAGAAAGAGAGGCAGAGTTCATCCCAGGCCTTCGAGCACATGAAAAGGAATGCAGCGGGTGCGAGACATGTATTGGATGACCGTGGCCGTAGCGCGGCAGAGATACATAAATAGGTATCCATGGCATGGTCTCGCCTCCGGTTGGAAATAACTGGGGTGCAGGCAGTACTTACAACACATGCGGAGAGTCGCTAATTCTACATAAATGTTGTGCGAATCGACGCAGCCAATATGGAGGACGTGAAGCAGGCAAGAACGTGCGCAGAAAATGGGAAGCGGTCAATCGTATGCAGCAAATACGAAAGAAACATGAAGATGTCGTTCGTGCTGGCTAAGACCTTGATTAGATTGAGTAAGTAAACACGTTTGGATTCAGGTTGACATTTCGTACACTCAGCTTTAGGGTTGTTTGCCATCCGAGACGCAATTATCCAATGCAGCACGGCATGTGGACGACCGCCGCGGCGGGATATGTACTGGTGGTTGATAAACACATTATATTTGTAACGTTGATGTAGCGGCTGGCCGCTGAACTTTCGTGTACGCCGCGGATCGATGTGAATGAATTATTCAGCGTGACTCCAGGTCCTCTACAAGACTAATGCACGCGATTGCGACGGCTTCGGTTTAGGTTTTCTTCGTCCTAGCTGACTGGCTTCTGAGGTCGCTTAGCGCTCAGATCTTCAGAAGTTGCCACGTACAACGCCACCGATGACACGAACAACGCCATCTCAGACGATGTTCATCACTCGGTTGGCGTCTGCTTTCTACCGGTTCTCCAGCGCCAACGGAGTGCTTGAGGATAGTGCAGTGGAGACGTAAAGGTCAGTTGCCTGCTTCCCCGCCCGTACTGGATGAAGTACATATCTGCGGCGTGTGCCGGTGGTCCGTCCATTCAGGTGACTAACAACTGGAGGCACGATGGTCAAGCGGCGTTCTGTGGCGTGCTTGAACGATGGGTATCAGGACCAATAAAAATAGGCCCAAATACCTCATCCCCAAAACGGTCCTTTTGTCCAACAAAAAATGGGCCAATTTTTTCCAAAAAGGATTGTTTTCCCTACAGCAAATTGACCGTGCAGTGCCAAAAGTCAAAATTTTGTGCGACACAGGGTATGAAGTGTGTATTTTCATAGATCCTTGGATAGAACTTCTGTGCATGTGGATTAGGGAATGATCGCCTAAACGCTGATTCGCGACCACCGCACAGTTAACATTGTCCGGGCCCCGGGTGGGATTTTCAAATTGGAATGATGTCCCCATTCTTGCACGTTGTCCACTTCTCATCGGGCCAAAAAAAGTGACCACCTGAGAGGATTCGAATTGTTTTGAATCCATTGCGGTTACGGGATTTACGGGATGCCTTCTCAAGTAGTATGTATGAATGATTCAGTTTCTCCGCGTCCGACAGGCGCATCATCGGCCGATTTATAAGTTGTATGCGGCCGTCAATTGTAAGGCCGCATAGAGCCTGAGTGAAGGTCCATTGAAAGGACCGATGCACTGCGCAAAAAAAAATAGTCAAGTAAAAATAACAGCATGCATTCCGCCAGTGGTGTGGATGTGGAGCTACTCAAGCGCCCAAATTTTCGACTCGGAACCACCTCATCGACGGGATCGAAAACGGCGATCAAATTGCCGATGAATAATGATCCGCTGATGCGCCTGTCGGACACGGGGAAACCTTCAAGGGGGGGATCCCGTAACCACAATGGATTCAGGTGTTTACTTAACAACTAAGATAAGGCCAACGCACGCCCTCATAAAGCCAGTGCGATAGTATAAGATCCCCCAGGTACGCTGTTTTTAGTTTTGCTGTGAACATGGCATCGACCGGCGCATCTTCTCTGGTTTTGCACACCCAGGCGTTCTCGCCCGGTCATGCAGAAACATCCCGGGCCTCAGCTTCGAGCAGCGATGCGGAGAAGCAGACGTCGGCCCGTCGCGAGCATGCATCTCATCTTGGGCTCGAGGATGTCTACAGACGTCACGGTCGTATCGACCTTATCCCACTCCCCTCCGACGATCCACTCGATCCTCTCAACTGGTCGTCAGCTCGCAAGC